CACAAAATATATTAGTTATCACCGGCTGAAAGTACCCCTCTCTTTCTTCTGCATAATTTTGTCTGTTGACCCACTGTCCCTCCTTTTTAGGATCGGGGACCCCCAAGCCATCCACCCCCACACCCACCAACACGCCATGCTCGACGCCGCACACCGCCGACTCCCTCTCTGCTCCTCTCTCGCTGACCCCGACCCCGTCAGACCCTCCCATGCTTCAGAGCCAGTCGCAGCCCGCCCCCCTCCTCACGCCCTTCGCCCAACAGCAACTAGCTCTAAGCCAGCCGCTGCCCATCATGACCATTCCCCTGCCCACCATGGGTACGTCCATCACCACGGGCACCACCTCGTCGCAGGTCATGGCCAACCCGGCGGGGCTCAATTTCATCAACGTGGTCGGCTCCGTTTGGTAGGGATTAAATAGTCTCTGGTGCCTCTCTGTCCCTTGCTAGTCACTGTCACTCTTCATGACCATCCTGTACTGTTTGTGTAGCAGTCCTCAGACCTTGATGAGTGGCTCCAACCCCATGCTGGGTCCAGGCCTTAACTTGAGTGGAATCCTTCCACCCGGAGGACTGATGCCCACCATGCAGTCCGCAGCACAGGCTGGTAAGAGATTTCAGTACTTATTGGAGCCTTGATTCTTAAAGGCCTGTATAACATACAGCGTATCAGAAAGCGTCACAGGCCCTCAACAATTTTCGGACCCAGTCCAACTTCTCATCTAAATAATCTTATTATATAACGGGGAAAATTGGAAGTAGTAGTTCAAAGAGAGATCCACCGTCCTTGACTGGCTCGAGGAAGCTGTAATAGTGAGAGGTTTACAATGTGCTGTAGAATATTAATCTATGTTCAAGTCCAGTAAAAGAGGCCCAGTAGGTCGAGTGAAAAAGTCCAGAGATAAGTTGATACGGTAAGGAAACTTGTGTTTAGTCTGCTGAATGTAACTCTGCTTTGTGTTCCAGGGAGTCATTTTGGCCTGAACAACAGTGCTGGGTTGAGACCACTGAACCTGCTGCAGGTATGATTGTGTTCCAGTCAGTCTGTAGCGCTGCTAGTAGCATGCACTGGGTATTTGCACCTCTGTTATCACACCTGGAATAGTGATGAGCTGTGTGTGTGTATGAATCAACTGCACAGCTCAACTTCCTCACACTTCCTTTTCCTGCACCTCACTGCATATGCCATGTAGTGAACACTGAACACCCTTCATCAAGTTGTTCTTGTTCTGATATTAGTAATGGTCTAGTAATGTGTTGTTTGATTGCTTTGTTAATTCTCCCGTTTCCCTCTGCCTCTCCTCTCTGCATCTCCTTCCTTCATCCTCCTCTCCCTGTCTGTTACTCCTCCACTATTTGTATTTTGGTGTGTGTGTGTGTGTGTGTGTGTGTGTGTGTGTGTGTGTGTGTGTGTTATACATCTCCAGATCCCCACTGGTCCTCTCATCTTTAACTCTCTGCAGCAGCAGCAGTTGTCTCAGTTCTCACCACAGCAGAGTCAGTCGGCCACCTCCAGCCCTCAACAGCAGGGGGAGACGGTGAGACACACAATTACATTTGCATCCAATCACATACACACACACACACACACACACAGACACACACACACACACACACACAATCGCAATCACATAGTCAATTGTGTTAATCAGAAAAGTAAACATCAGAGTTTAACAATGTTTATGTTAGAAAGATTTATAGTATCTATGTTAGAAAACACAGAGTGTAAGGAGTTCACCAAAGCACTTTAAGCATTTTACAACAAGCAACCTAGCTTGTTTAGGGAAGTGGAAAAAGAGCCAAAGACCACTGTGAACCAAAGTCAGTCAAAAATCATTAGAGACTTCACAAGACTAGGCCATATGGCCAGAAGTCCAACAGTAAGCTACTCCTAAAAGGAGGTAGAGGAAGGATGTATGGTCCAAGAGGACAAAGATGTGTATTGAAAAATAATATAATTAACTTGAGAACAAGAGTTTAAGCTGAAGCCAAGACTTAGTCACAATGGAAGATCTGTCGAGACGCTCTTCATCGTACTAGAGCAAGGTTGAACAAATCTGCGAGGAATAATGGGAGAAACGCCCAGAATCCACCAGTGCCAAGGCGATGCTGACGTATTCAAGAGAATGCTGTAGCAGACGCTGCCAAAACACCTCATAACCACCTCATAACTGGGACTTTAGACGAGAACTAGAAAAATCATCTTTTAAAAGAGTTGTAAACCAAAGCTTGTGCTGTGGAAGGAAAAAGGGTTGAAATCTTTGAACTTCTCAAAAACAACAAAAAGGTTATTTTTTTTATTTATTAACTTTCTTTTAAGTATTTCAATAGAAAATACAGTTGACTAGTTGAACATTGTGGTGACGCACTTTACACATTACCCTTTTTGCCTTTGCCTGCTTTTGCAGGGGGACCAGGGGTCAGATCAAAGTTTAGGAAACCAGCAAACAGCGGTCATCAACCTGGGAGTCGGAGGCTTCATGTCTTCACAGGCAGCAGGTACGACCCACACACACACACACACACACACACAGAGACACCCAAATACACATTCACAGCACACAAAGTCCTCTAAAACATTTCTCTCTGTTCAGTCCGTTAACCTGTTTCAAAAAGAATTGACATCATGCCACTAACTAGTACTAATAAGATAAGATGTTCTAATGTATTCATGATTGTCATTGCTGTATATTAGGACTCATAGTCTGTAACTGAACATGATCATTGTACTGAAGTTAGCCATTGTTCCTGTCAATGGAGCATGTAACAACTGACAGGAGGGACTCAACTTCCCCTTCTTTCTGCTACGTTCGTTCTTCTTTTTTTTTTACTTCTGTTGTTTTTTACCCCCACCCTTACTTCTTTCCCTACTGCACTGCCTTCCTCTCCTTTTCAACTTGCCCTCCTCACTCACGTCTGTCCGTCTCACCCCATTCCTGCTATTTGCCCTTAATCTACTTAATAATGTCCATGCACACGGTCCTTTACCTGTGCTGTTGCCTTCCCTGTTTCCTCTGTTTGTCTTCTCTTTCTTTCATCTCATCTCTCTCCTTATTCTGTGGTTATGCATCACTGAAACTGCGACACCCCCCTTTCTCCCCCTCACATTCATCCCCCTTCTGGCTATATGTCTGTTTTTCTCACTCCATACTTTACTCCATTCCTTCTCCTGCTTCTCTCCCTCTTAACACCACATCCTTCCTTCTGGGGTTCCCTCTCTCCCTCCTCCCCCCCTTAGTGCTGTCCCAGTTGGGCTGTGGGCTGGACGGGTCTGGGCCCCCGCTGCCTTCTCCAAGGCTTCAGCAGCAGCACCAGCCACAGATCCAAGTAATACAGCAACTTTAACATCTATATACACACACATACATACAATGTAAGATTATTACAGATGACAGAATAGGACTAGTTTCATCAGACAACTCTCCGTGCCTTCATTTAGCATGCAGGTATATGTTGTGCTATATTATAAACGATCAGGGAATTAGGCCAATTTCTAAAAAAGACAAACATTTCTTAATATTTCTTCATACATAAGCATCATTACTCAGACCTGAGTAAAATTAGATTTTAAAAAGAACTTCACAATCAACTGTGTCCTGTATGTCACAGAATAAAATACAAGTATGGCTCCCTGGAAGCTGAATTTTATGGAAAACATTTGGTATAACCAAACACGAAAGATTAACGGAAACATATTTATTCTAAATATTTACTATTTTCTTGAATTTAGTTTTATATACATTAACAAATCTTATTCAAAAACTGAGAATATATTCTCAGTTTTACTTTAAATGACAATTTACAGGTGAAGCGACATTATCCCCAGGTCTGATTTTCATCCAGACTTTTCTGTTCTCCATTCACTCCATCTTGTGTTGTCTGTTTGGTTGGTGTGTTGTTTGACAAAGATCACAGCAGTCCCAGTACTCCCAGCAAACCCACACACCACAGCTTGTGGCACTTCCAATGGCAGCAACTAACAGCGTGTCGAACTGGGAGGCATGTTGTCACAAAGCTTTTAGCGACAGGATATGACATATTGTCACCGGTTACAGTGGGTACTGCTGAAATGCTGACTGCATCATGAAGGAATAGAGATGATAGACTGTGAGCATGATTGTTGAGGTGTTTAAAGATTATTGTTTTTTTTGCCCAGTTGAAGTTGCTGACTTACTCCGTGCAGAAAGCACGGTTGCTACCTGCATGTCTGTTTTCGCCAGGACCACAGGCAATCATTTGAGTCCCCTGAACGTCACTGGTGCTGCTT